CATGTAGACGCTGATTTCATGTCATTTATTATAGAATGCATACAAAATAAACTTGCATATAAATAATTAAAACAATATAAGACATTTCTAATAATATTATTTTTTAATACAAAATATATTTATTACAGTATAAAATATTTCGATTGCTGATATATAAAAAAATTTGCGTCTAAAGAATTACAAGTGATAAAAAAGGTTAATTAATTCATATATATGCCTCAATTGATAATGGTTTTTAAAAACTATATATTATAAAATTAGCAACTTTTATTGACAAAAGGTCAAGAAACTAATATAACACTCTGTTACCATTTTTAGACAATGTTTTATAGAATGGACTAATAAGGAAAAAAGGCCTAACCAAATCAACAATTCTTGTAGAAGAGAATATAAACGACCAATCCAAATCATATAACTATATGGTGGTTGAGCTTCTTCTTAAATGACATGATAGAAGCTAGATAAGTAATTGTGAAAAAAATTGTGAGATATTAAATTTCTAAAAGATTATCTCCATTTTTAATGATATATAAACAACTACACAGTTGACCATGATTGCTTATACAATATGCAATCATATGCTATCAGCAGCTGAAATAATAATTTTAAATTACATAGCCACACAAATAATAGATGCTGGTTAATTTGCAGTCATAGCCATGAGAGTGACACTTACTATATTAAATTATATAAAAAATTTATTATGCTAGATGAATTGATAAAACAAAATACAAAATATCTTTAGAAAATTATGCAAATGTATTGAAGCCTTAAGATTTACAAGGCAGGGATGCCATATTAGAAATAAAACATTTTGTAACTATAAAATAAGAACCATAGTGATATGATATGATAAAAGAAATTAATTAAGATTTTATATATTATTGTAGCACCACCTCTAGTTGGTATATTACATCTTAAAATTGTGGTAGTTTGTAATAATATCAAAAATATACTAGTATTAAAAATTTAACTCAAAACTGTTTTTTAAATAAGAAAAAAATAGCTTTCCTAAAAACACATAAAAAAGAGGAGAAAAGTTATTTAATTTATTTCTGGGATAAATAATAAGATGTTAAATTTTAAAAATATTTCTAATTACTTATGTTTACTATCAAAAGCATTTATTAGTAAAATTTATTAAAATATTAACTGCAATATATTATATAACTGTCAAATACGTCTGTAAAAGTGGTATTTAACCTAATATTTTATAACCAATTACAGAGTTGTTAAAAGATCGAATCAAAAGATCGACGATCCTGGATTCGATCGCAAATTTGTCAATTTTACGAGATTTATGATTCTGACTTAAATTGAGGATCGGGATCATTTTGTTTAAAATTCGATCCCGATCTTTTTAAAAATAAAGCAATAAATAAAATAAAAATTTTGAAAATTAAATTAAAATATTATTTTTTAAAAAATATCTATCTTCATATTTTATCAACTTGCATTCCACCATTTATTTTATAGATATATTTATTCATTTCCTAAATTTTACGAGATTTAGAGCTCTTACAAGTTATTTAATATAAATTTATAATAATATATCGATATTTATTTTAATGAGTAAATGTAAATGTCCATTATAGATTTAGAAGATTCTATTGACTATTGATGTAACATCAGATATAAGTGAGAATGAGAATCTTTTACCATTTTTGAAATTACGTAAGTATTTTACTTTATGTGAAAACTGCACATTGATTGGATCCGTTAACCCTCAAGAGAAGGTCAGCCGCTTTGGCACTGAGGAGGATAATTGGGAGGCAAACATATGATGTTTTGGCCAACGAAATCATGGGTATCCACAAGTTCTATAAAATTCATAATTAGGTGGTGAAGATGGTGACTGACAATGGAACCAACTTTGTCAAGGCATTTAAGTAATATTTATATTTAGCAAAAAATATTTAAATAAATTTATTTTTTCTAGAGTTTTTGGAGAAAATGAAGAAGATAGTAGTGAGGATATGGAATTGATAAATTTGGAAGACATATTATCCCTTGATGACCCAATTATTCCTACTATGCCTACCAAAACATCAACGTTGTTGTTGCCATAATCTTAACCTTATTGCATCAACAGATACGGAGATGGCAGATAGTGATCTCAATTATAAACGAATATCTAGATCCACTTTTGCAAAATGTTTTGCTTTAGTTAATAAACAAAATATGTCGTCAAAAATGGCGGCTATTTTATTGGAGAAATTGGGAAGATATTTAATAGCTCCCAACAAGACAAGATGGAATTCTTATTACCAATCCATGAAATTAATAGATAAGATGCTTTCTGAAAAGTTTTCAGAAGTAGAACAAGTATGTGATCAAATTGGATTTGCAATGTTTAGGCAAGAGGAATGTTTTTTTGTTAAAGAGTATGCAACAGTAATACAATGATATTCTCTAAATAAATTTAAATTTTATAGGTTATGGAACCTTTGGCGATCTCGTTAAAAATCTTGGAACAGGAGGATAATATGGAGCAGGGATATCTAACTCCCGTTCTATCGATATTGATAGATAAATTAAAGAAATTTAGCTGCCTGCAGTATTGTCAGCCCCTTGTAGATAGTGTTCTTAGAGGTATTGATAAAATGTAATATTTTTTTATGCAATTATTTTATATTATCAGATATCTGCAAAATATATTAAAAAATTGCAAAGATCTGGCAAATTTAGTAAAATATTTTTAACAGGCCAGTTCTACTAAACCTCTGATATCTAGTAAAATATTAATGGGCCTTTGAAGACATTAAAAATTTATTAGATTATTTGAATTTTAAGCTAATATTTTGATTAATATTCTTTGTAAATAAATTACAATGTTAATTTCTTTGTAAATAAATTACAATGTTAATTTCTTTGTATATTAAGTATTAAGTTTACATTTAATCAATATTTATGATATGACCCAAATATAAATAAATACCATACAGATGATGTGCCAGACTTGACTGTAAAATTTAAAAGGGTTAAGTTTTGCAGATACTTGATTTGATTTATATAAATAAAATGAACACTTATTTAATAATAAATTAATTATCATTAATATAGATTTCCTTCACAGTATGAAGACAGTAACATTTTGGCAGCCATGATTCACCCTAAATTTAAACTTAATTGGCCTTATATTAATCTGCCACAAAATATGATGGTAAAAGAAAGATTAGTTGCCCATTTGGAAAATATGCAGGAACAACCATATGCGGATACCTCAAGATGACATTGATGCTTTTTTTGGGAAAAATACTGTACAAAATGCTTGTTCCGTTAAAAAATTTTTTTATTCAAATGATGATTCCATGAATATTTTTAATACTTATATTAATTTTAAAAAAATATTTATTGAATATAATACACCTTTACTAAACATGTTCTAAATGAAAGACGCAATTTTAATTATAAATAAATATATTATAATTGTTATATTTATTATTCAATTACAATAAATTTCTACCATATTTAATTTATTTTTATTTTAGTTAATTTTGCATCGGTTATATTATATTATTATTCAATTACAATAAATTTATAACATATATTAGTTAATTTAGCATCGGTCAGAAATTTCCTTCAGATTTAAATAGAAAAAAAGATGTCAATCCTGGATTTCAATCCTGGATTTGATCCTCTTTTTTTGAAAAGATCGTGATCGCGATTCGATCGTTTTAAAAAGATCGGTTAACAAGCCTGACCAATTATTTCTAATAGAGGATTATAAACTATATGTTTACTTACTTTTAATAAATAAATCTCTTGTACTTATTTAGATTTCGACCTTGAAAATAATATTAAGAAGATGGTAATTAAATTTAAATATCAATAATATAGTTGATTAGTGATTTAGAACTCGGCTAATTACAATATTAAATTTGTTAATTTGATATTTATTTAATTATGGTTATTAAATAATAAAAGTCAATAAAACTTCAACTGTTTATGCTAAATTAATATTAAGTGAGTGATATTAATATTCTATTTTTAACACAGAATTTGATTGCAAGCTGACATAGTGAAAATATAATTTATAAGTATTAATCTAATCTAATAATTAAAAATAGTTATCATTTAAAAATAATTTAGATAGACTTACTAATTTTTAAATTATAAAATTAAATCTATATATTACTCAAAAAGAAATCATTCAGTGGGCAATAATAAAAATTTATTTTTAGTCAAGGGGATATTAGGCACCCATTTAAAAAATATTTTTCTGCTTCTATTCAAATTTTTCAGGGGACTCGAGCCTCTTCGCGCCCCCCACCAAGCTATGCCACTGTATCAAAATTTGTCTTTTTTATATATAATTTATTAATTTTAGTTAAAATAATTATTAACCTTTATATTCTTTCTTTCAAATTATTGTATAAGTTATACGCATATTTTTTTGTGGGGTGGGGGCAAAGAAAAATATTTTAATTAGCTTAAAATGATATTCACAAAAAGTGACTTATTTATAAAGTGGGTAGGAAATTTCCCCTAGCCCTCACCCTCGGTTACTATGAATTCAAAATTCATATGAACATTTTAATTTTTTCAAAAAATTTGACTCCAGACTGGGCGATTTTCCTATGATATACTCTTCTTTTTGGGGGGAATTAATCTGTATTACGCGGAAAACGAAACGATATATATTAATTTATAAGGATATTATTGCAGACGTGCTATCTATTTAAATAATTGCTTATACTTTAAGAACAGTTAATTTTATAGGATCATATTGAATTGAATATATTTTCGACTGATCAACAAATTATTTTCCAGAAACATGACGCTTCATCATTTAATCAAATCTTAAACTTATAATACATATATAAATTTGCATTTAAGGACTATATTTTAAATGTTAATTTTAGTGAACAATGTTATTATTATAAATTATAGATAAACTTTGAATTTATAAAATTAAATTAAACCTTTTAAAAAAAATATAGTAAATAACGACATATGTTACTCACTTTATTTTAATAAATTCTATGTTATAGGAAATATATGGCAAAATCATGTTCCCAAACTTTTACATTTTATTATCCATGGGAAAAAGTAGCTTTTGCTATAAATAATCGATATACAACAAATTCTTACAGGTTAATTAATATTTTTAAAATATTAAAAATTTTATATACATTAGTTCCCATGTAATATCTGAAGACGTCATATCTAAAGAAATTAAAGATAATAAATTATATATTAAAAAAATAATTGTCAAAACTAGCAAGTACATTTTAAATAAATTTTAATAATTTATTACATCTATATAGAATTCCTAAATGGGCGGAAAAAATCATACCTGCTAGATCTGTACCCATACTTGAAGAATGTATCATAGATCCTTTAAATAAAATTTATGTATCATCTAAGCAAAATATAATGCATCAAAAATTTATGGTTTTATCACATTAAATTACAATAATTATTATATTATCTGCACAGATGGCAAGAGAATATTGCACGTACACTCAAGATAATGTTAGTCCAAATATAACCAATTGTGAGAAAAAAGCATGGGTAGATTCTAAAATTTTTGGCTTTGCCACTGCTATAAAAAGATATGGAATCGAAAAGTTATTATTTAAATTTTATCAAAGATTTAAAAAGATAACATTAATTGAAATAATTAATAATATGCTAAATTTTCATTTTTTTTAAATACCTAAGCCAGGCCTGAAATTTTTTTTTAAAAAAAAGTACCTGGACTGGGCTGTATATTCTAAATCATGATTATTAGCTATAAAAATTTTAAAAAAATTCATTAGGGCCTGAAAATTCTGTTTTTTTTTTTGAAAAAATCTGGAGTTAGTCTGAAAAAACCCAAACAGGGCCAAAAAAATTTATTTAAAAAAATATCGAGGCCAGGCCCTCTAAATAATATTTCTGCAGATCTTGAAAAATCAAAAAAAAAAATTTATATTAATTGCCTTTTATTTGACTATAAAAAAATAAATATTTTTTGATCTTATGATATTTGAAAATTATGAAATAAATTTTGATTTAAAATTTATCTCTTTTCTTTTTAAATGATCTTATGATATTTGAAAATTATGAAATAAATTTTGATTTAAAATTTATCTCTTTTCTTTTCATATGTTTTTTAAAGATCAATATTCATTTTATTTATTGTGTACACAAAAGTATATTAATAATATATCAAGAATGTAAGCAATACACTATATTATGGCTGTGCCGATATTAAATATTAGATCGGCACTAATATTTAGCATTCAAAAATTATTTGATTAAAAAAATGATCCATCCAATATTTTTTTCTTTTTTGCTATTTTATGCTATATATATTTATAAAGATTATTTTACATTATTATAATATTTCAAAAGATTTTTTATTTATTATTAAAAAATGAAAATCTACAACACCCCTAACAAGGAATATTTAAAATATTCTTTATATCTAGGTTGTATAATAACATATTTTTCATATTTTATCTAGAAATGCTTGGTTGGATGATTAACTTATTTGTTTGGGTGGTATTGGATTATTCTTCAAACCCAACAAAAGGTTGGGTTTTTATGAAACCCAATATTTTAAAAATGCTAATTTTATGTCTGTTTATTTAGAAAATTTAAAAAATATTGATATATCCCTAGTGGATCCACTTGACTATTGGAGAATTATTGCTGAAAAATATCCAACTTTGTCAAATGTGTATTTTTTTGTGCCTCTTGTAACAAGTGTCACATCTGAGTCTATCTTCAGTATGGCAGGGAATAAAGATAGCCCACATTGTACAAGCTTATTGTATAAATTCTTGAGGCTCTTGGTGAAAAATATGTTGATCGACACAGCCCTTCACTAGAGATCTATGATATTGAAATTTTTTTTATAAAAGCATAATGTATATAGGGGGCAGGAAAGCCATAATTTTGAATTTCAGTTATAATACTAGTAATTTTTTTTAAAGATCTCCACTTTAACCACCCTTGATTAATTTTATTCTTTCTCTACCATGTTGTCTCTTAACCTTTTTTCTATTATTTTTTTTATAAAGTTTAAGATAGTGTGACATAAATTTAAACCCCTGTAATTTTGACAATTGTGTGGATCCCCTTTATTTTTGATATGAACTAGATAGCTCTGCTCTACCTGCATTTTTGAGGACTCTTCGTTTCCCATATTTATCGTACAAATTTGTGAGGAAATGTATTCCTTCAACTACTAGTGCTTTAACGCTTTCTATTGGAATATCATCAGGACCCCTAGCTTTGTTGTTTTTCATATATTTGTGGCATGTGATTATTTCTTGTTTCATTACTGGTTGTATAAGGTTTTGACATAGGGAGTGTTCATCTAATGTCATTGCCTTGGCCCTAGCCACCACCTTTGTAGCTATTCTTTTGGACTTTTTGTATTTTGTCTTGTCATTTAGGTTTTTGGATTTGTCATATTTTATATAGTGCTTTTTTCTCCTGTATAGTGGTTTTTACATCTTCATTCCACCACCATAGTTCTTTGTATGATTTGTTGCCTCCCCTTCTCAAGCCTAATGTCGATTTGGCAGTGTCTATTAATCAGGATGAAAGGTCTGCCCACATTTTTTCACTTGTGAGGAATCAATTGTTTCAAGGTTTCATTGATTGCAAAGGCATCTGTCATTGATTTTAATCTATTCCATTTGATGCATGGTTCTAGTTTTATCTTGTTTTGAGTGGATTTATTTGTGAGGTATGAATCCATGACTAGTAACTTGTGTATCGTAGCAATATCTTCTCCTGGGATGACTTTGCAACCTATTACATCTAATCTTTTGCCAGAGATCAGCATGTAATCTATCTGGGTTTTCCTTATACCACTTTCATATGTTAATAAATGACTGTCCTTTTTCTTATTATAGGTATTGGTTAAGGCAAGGTCAAAGGCTTGCACAAATTTTAGTACATGCTTTCCTTCATTTATTTCTCCATATCCAAAACCACCTTCTTTTTATAGCTCTCTCTTGCATTTCCCACATGTGCATTTAAGTTTCCACCTATTAATTATGACTAGGTCATCCTTAACTATTTCCATTACAACTTCATCAAGGATAGCTCTAAAGTTATCTTTCTCCTCTTCTTTGCAACCGTTTGAGGAGCATATACTGAAATGATGGGTAGTATTGATTGACCAATCCATAGTTTTATTTTCATTAGTCCATCAGAGATTCTGTTTACTTCTGCCACTGAGGAGGTTAGATCTTGACTGAGGATGATGCCAACACCGTTCCTATTGCTAACAATTCCATTATAGTACAATTTATACCCATCTCTAATCATTAGAGTCTTCTGACCTTTCCATTTCGTCTCTTGTATACACACTATATCAACTTCTTTTTATCAACATTGATGCCAATTCTCTCGTCTTACCTTTAAGTGTCCCAATATTCAAACTTGCAAATCTTGTCTTCTTTGCTTTGACCTTTATTTTACTTTTCGCAGGATGGAGGTCTACATCCTGCTCGTTGCTTGGAGGGAAGGCCCTAGCTTTCATATTCCTATTTTTGTTTGTTTCCTTCATTTTTTTTTATTGGACAAGTATCCTTATCACCCGGCTGTCCAAGCCTGTCGATGACTGGGGTGACATTTTTAAGCTCAGAAATTAATCTTATCATATGACTTTACACAATCATCGAAGAAAAACCTGAAAATTTTTACAGTTTTTATCAAGCATACATCATAAACCCACTAGGGTCACCGACAGACTTTTACAGCCGGATGCTATGATACTTGTCAAATAAACCAAATGAAAGATACAAACAAAAATATAAATATGAAAGCTAGGGCGTTCCCTCTAAGCGATGCACAGGGTGGACCTCCATCCTGTGAAAAGTAAAATAATGGTCAGAGCAAAGAAAACAAGGTTAGCAAGATCGAATATTGGTACACTTAAAGGTAAGACGAGAAAATAGACATCCATGTTGAACAAGAGAAAAGTTAATAATAGCAATACAAGAGACAAAATGGAAAAGTCAGAAGACTCTAATTATTGGAGATGGGTATAAATTGTACTGTAAAGAAATTGTTAGTAAGCATCATCTTCAGTCAAGATCAACCTTCCCAGTGGTAGAAGTTGGAGATAGACTAATGAAAATAAAACTATGCATTGGTCAATCAATACTACACTTCCTTTCAGTATATCCTCCTCAAATGGGTTGCAAAGAAGAGAAAAAAATAACTTTAGAGCTATCCTTGATGAAGCTGTAATGGAAATCCCTAAGGATGACCTAGTCATAATAGGTAGTTACTTAAAAGCGCATGTGGGAAAAGCAAGAGACAGTTACAAAAGGCATCATAGTGGTTTTAGATTAAGAAATGATGAAGGAGAGCATGTACTGAAATTTGTGCAAGCCTTTGACCTTGCCTTAACCAACACCTACTATTTAAAAAAAGGACAGTCATTTAATAACATGAAAGTGGTACAAAGAAAACCCAGATAGATTACATGTTAATTTCTCGTAGAAGATTAAAAGATGTAATGAATTGCAAAGTCATCCCAGGAGAAGTTGCTGCACAACACAAATATAACAGTATTATTTTCTAGTAGTTTAAAACACATCCCAACTATAGGATATTTATTTATGGTCTCATTTATTGATAATATAATTCTTAAATATTTTTTACTCTGTAGAGCCATTCTCCGATGAAGGTAATAATTCTCTTTGGGATCCAGGGCCCTAATTGAGATAGTGAGAACTGAACGATGTTAAAATAATTGTGAATATGGGCAGAAATGTAAAGTTGATAGGTAATGATGGCAAATATTAGTTTATTTGACTCAGCATCTATGAGAGCATCTCAATTATATTGTAAGGGGCAAAATTATTAATATGTGAGAAATTCAAGGTTAGGAATTCCCTCCTTTTCCAGGGGATCACGGTAAAACCATCGACCCTTAGCCATCAGAACTGTATAGTCCTATGAGCTCGAGGGCTATAAGGATGCCAGCTGATTTTAAGGCTCTGTCTATAGTATCATTGTACTTTATAATGAATCTGCCTCTATAACGCTTGGTAAAGAGCGGCGACCTTTGGAGTTGACATTTGTTTAACAGAATACAGTCAAGATTTCTCGATGTAAAAGCTTTGAAAAATTCATAATCACTACCTGACGAAATGGAGGAAGAATGATCCTTGAGTTGACCTGTCAACTTAAGGCATGCAACTGACTGACAACTAGAGGGTTATTCCAGTCCTTCTGTTTCACTGATTATGGAGGATCGACTAATGGGAGAAATCTTAGAGATCTATAGCCCGCAGAAGCAAGGGATCGAGATGTTTCGTGAGTGTGTGTATAATGAGCTAACATGCCAGGCGAGAGGATATTAACGTGCTATAGGAATATCGCAAATGCAACCTTATGTCACTGCCACCATATTCGGTTGTTAAGGTAGCCTGTAACCAAAATAGGTCTTGAAGTTTAAGATTGAATATCTCTTCTGTGATACAGTTAATCTCAAGCTCATGCACAGCGAGGATGACATTATATTGGAAGATATGCGAAGATCGGAATATATACAAAATTGGGATGGGGAGCACGATAGTATATCTCCGTGAAGTGTTGGCAAGGAATTTGATAAAGGATTCGTATTTACCTATTGGTGGAGATCCCAGATGTGTCAGAGATAAATTGTGTATGATTGAACACGAGATCAATAATCCCAAGGGGAAAATATTCACTTTTATTTGGATTAATTCGTAGTTCCAAACTGCTCTAGTTAGTTTTTTATTCTGTCTACTTTACTTCATCCGGTGGGCCGATTAATATACCATAGTCGATATACCAATCATGAAGGTTTAGCTTGCGTTTTTATATCTCGAATCAGGCCATCAATATCTAGACATAATAAAAAGGAGCTGAGAAAGTTTGTTATATTTCATCTCTGGAGGTATGAGGGATTAGCATAGCAATCAAAGATAAATTGTGAATATTCCGAATAAAGGGCGAGGATGGGATTTATGCTACTCTTAAGAGAATTAAAATTCTATTTTAATCAGGGTATCGTTGCTGGGGTTCGTAGGTTACATTCATGTCATGTGAAGAAATACCTCACATACGCCTTTCAAGTTGACACCTAATTGACTCTTCTCATACATCATATTAATTTGGAGTCATAAATCGCTAAATAAAATCTTCCAAAATTATGACAGCATTGTTAAAAATAAATTATCGAAATGCAAAAGGTAATCTATAAAGGGCATTAAAGTAAAGAAAGAAATTTGATTTCTCCCTGTATATGGTTTAACAAAAATCTTCGAATTTCTCATTTTGATTAGATTTTTTTTTAAAAAAAAGATGTATTACATTATTTTGCACAAAGATCACGAAATATTTTGAGATACGGTGCAAAATGTAATCACAAATCCTGTTTTATTCTAACTAAAAATTGTTGTTTTATCTTCGGGGTCGCTAGATATTTACATTTTCTGCCAGATATATATAAAAGTAGCACAAAGGGCCAGAATTGACAGTGTAAAACTTGTCCTTGCATGACAAGTGATCCACCATTTTGCGAGGAAAATTTTTTATAATACACTAAATGGTTTGCTTATGTAGCAACCCAATAGTTATTAATAAATAAAAAACAAAAAATGATTTTTATTTATTTGAATTGTATAATTAAATAATTCACACACCATAAAAATGATAGAAAAACTTTTTATTTTGTAGTCAAAAGATGCACTATCCAAGGAGATACAATGAGTTTGAAGAACTTGTTGTTGATTAATTATTTTGTTTACTTATATAAATTAATATACTCTTCTTTTTACAAATCAAACACAATATCAATTATATTAGATAAATCAAATATTATCATTTATTTAATAAATTCAGAAGAAAATTATAATTTATATATAATGTGATTAACTTCAATTTTATTAATTTCTAGTCCTTAAAATTCAGTTAATAAAATAAATATCCAATATATTGTGTCGGCAACCGATCATCGATATAGAAAAAAAGAAAAGTGACACATGTCTACTTAATAAGGATAGGATTGTTTTATTTTTTATAATAATAGGCAAATATAGCAATATTTTAATATTAAATTATTAATTGTTATTTAAGATACAAATCTAATTCCACAAAAGCAGATATTGGGCTAAACCTTGTCTTGGAAAAATTCAATCAAATCGATGTTGGCGGTAACAACTATTCCTTCGACAGCCAAGGGAAGAAACAAAGTTGGCGCCAAATTTTTAGCAAAAAATATTTGAGTCGCAAATTACTCCACGCTAAAAATCGAATAAATTATGCACCGCAGCAGAATTACAAAAATCACGATACCGTAATTGAAAAGGCTTTGACTTATATACACACAAATTTATTTTAAAAAATATTTTATATAAAAAATGATAACTATTTTTATGGATTTTTAATTCCTAAATTAATCTTAGATATTTTTTGTAAATCATATATACCTTGTGTAGTAAAATATTATGCATATTAAGAAGGTAAGGGGAACAGTTAAACTTGTAGATTATTTTTTACTAGTGTCAGAAGCATTTAAACAATTTAGTTGGCTCAGGTTAAAACGGAATTTAGCATGTAATATCTTTTAAAATTTGAAACCAAATATATCATATATTCTTTTTTAGTTAGAAAATTATTTATATACAAGCCTTAAAAAAAATGTAATTTAAAAAAATTCGACATTTATATCGCATCGGCTACCTGTACATATTCTCTCTTCTATTTGTTATTCTCAAATTCGCGATCATATCCTAAGTCATAAATTTAGATACAATTATACCAAATTTTTTTTTAGCATTAGGTTTTAGCGTTTTATTGCAGATTTCTTTTTCGAATAATAATTTTAAAAATATTTATATTTGATTGGTCTGAAATAAGATTAAATTACTTTTAACTCAAAACTAGCGTTACAAAAATTTTTATTGTCGTTTAAGAATAATTTGGGTTAATTTAGTGTTCTTTGTATTAGATTTATGAGAGATGAAATTATAACTAAATAACTTTAGCGGCATTAATCTGTATATATGTTCAGCCATAAAAAATTATTTAAACCTTATTATGATTAAATTATATATGATACGATTATATACAGATCATAAATTACCTTTCATACAGGACAAAGTTCTTAAATTTATTCTCGGTGTAAAATATCCTGTCATTCTACATAGATTTGACACAGGGCTTCTAATCGAATCCAAGTGTGGCATGCTGAACCTTGTTCAGAGAGGAATTCTTGGAGAACCCAAACCCAGACCGTCACTCAAAATGGTTCATATTGAATAATTAAAATCTAAAAACTAGGATTTAATTCTTATATTCTATGTATATACATATATATATAGCACTGCATAAACTGGTCTGAGTTTGAATCAAGTCCAATCTGACCAACCCTCAGACAGACTTTAACATTTTTTCGGATTAAATCATTTTATTATTTCCTAATGTTTTTTATGAAATATTATTAGTAAAATTAATCAAAAAAATTTTGTTTTTTTAAATCCTTCAGCTCTCATAGTTTTTTTTTTGATTTCGTTGAAATATCTTTCAAAAAGCCCAATGAAAAAAATAATTGAATCGGATTTGGTCAAACAAAATATTTTAAATTATTTTTCTCAGATTGGGTCCCCCATTATCCTTCCATCTTTTTAATTTTTTTTTGATAATAATTTTCTAGTATTTACACCAGGAAATAAACAATCTTTGTTAATATAAATCTAATGATAATGCACGGGAAATATGGTTTTAAAAAAATTTGAATTCCCATAGCTAGTGTCATCGAAAGCATCGTTTTGCTTATAAAAAATACTGCTCGATCAAAATTTTAGCCAAATACTATTACTTACTTTTTAGGGTTTTTGCATACTGGCAGAAAGATTTGGGCCTTCTTGACCAAATATCTTGGTTTATATAATATTTATTTGGGCTTAAATTCTGATATACTCATTTTTTTAAAAACCTTTAAATCAACCATTTCAACAATACCCACACTTAGTGTTGTTAATCGACTACCTAATAGTTATAGTCAAAAAATTTGACATAAAACTTTAGTTACTAAATAACTCGGCTAAGACTAAATTTATTAACTTTTTATCATATTTATTTTATATAATTTAAAAAAATATACAAAATGTTAGTTTTAGAGCCAAGCTAGAAGCAAAAAATAAACAATATTGGTGTTCAGTCATGTGCTAAAAATAAAATTAAAATAGAAATTATAAGAGTCGCTAAAGTTTTAATCTTCAGGCTAATTAACAATACTACCAATAGGCTAACTATAAATATTTATATTAAAAATTTTTTAATGATTATTGTAAACCTTTTTATAAACTCATAAATATAGGCTTGAGGGGAGAGGGGTTCATTATTTTAAAAAATTAAAGCGATGCATAAGATGGAGATAAAAATTTAATATATAACTTAATTTTTTTTGTCCAGTGTCTTTCTCTTTAATCTTGGTATTAATGGTTGAATTGTGTTAAAATACTTTGCCGACCTTATAATATTACTGTTCATTAAATGGTCATTAATTATTGTATATATAATGTAATATTCGGAATATTGCTTAATCCATTTAAGTTAATGTAAATAATTATTATATATTCTAATATATTAATTTTCTAAAATATATCTAAAGAACAATTTAATTTAATCTAAACAACACATTTTTGTTTACATACATACTTTATTCATAATATATCTATATACATGTACGCTTGAAGTCAAACTTTATCAGGCAGGTAAATGTATACATTTAATTTAGTTGAATTTAAACGGAAGATTAGGAGTAAGACCATCTTACCGATCTTACCATATGGCTACAATTTGAGCATCTTAGTCTTCTCATCATTGATTTGAAGAATTTTAGCTTCCTAACATCAACACTTTGATATGCATTAATTTTAGTTAATTTATATAGCTTTTTTTTATAGGATGAAATCTAACAATTTTAAATATAGGAGTTCTTGAAATACGAATTACTAACAGGCCTCATGACTTAATTCTAATATATATATGTCTACCCAATAGCGAAATAGCTAGGATTTATGGTACAACATAAAAGGATCTATGAAATAAATAAAGATATGTTGCGTTGTGATTCGCTTATGGTAATGCGTAATTTATCATTTAAGATTTGTATAATTTAACATTATGTATTTTGTATAAGCATAGCCGGAATAACATTACGGTTTGGTGCAAGTCTAACTGAGCAATTTATTAAAATATTTTGTTTCTTATCGATGACTCCTAATTAATTACACTGTATACTGCATTTAATTGCAAAGACAATATATTTAAAAATGAATTTTTTGATAATAATCGCTACAAATTTTATTAAACTTTATCGTCGAATTTATCAATTTTTTTAATAATAAAATTAATTCAAATCTTATATAGAATAGAATTTAAATCTACATTCTGATGGGAACTTTTATTCTCATTGTTTTCAAAATTAAAGACAACTAAAAAAATTGTTATTTATAAATTATCTCTACCATAGTTTAACAAATAATCTTAGCAATAAATCTTTTTTTTTATAAAATTACTTATTTTGTTTTGCTAGGCGTTTTGGATGATATCGAATTCCTTCGTCCACTTCAGACTCCATATTAACACTGGTATCTAAATCATATATCTTGTTAATTAGGATAGCTATTAAAAAGATTGTAAGGTAAGAATATTTCATTATAAATGAACTAGCTACACGAGTTATATTATTCTCTCAATTATTAAAATAAAAAATTTTGATTTTAGAAGAATAATAAATTTTATCTTATTTACTTAAAGTTTTCTAGAATTTTAAAAATTTAAATCATATTAATTAACTAACACTACTATCTCAGTCAGTGGTGTAGCTAGTTATTTTCTTTAGAGGGGGTCCATAAATATAAAAGTCCCAATAATATGTTATTATAAATTAGTAGATTATTCTCAATGACTTTATAATAATACTATCCAGTCAATAGTATAATATCCTTCCACAAACATCAAAACCAGAAAAATATAAATAATCATGGTATTTATTTGATATAAATTCACTTTTGAAGTCTTTGAAAGTATAATCTAAAAAAACTTTGCTCGGGGGGTGGGGTCTAAACCGACCTTCCCCCCCACCCGTAGCTATGCCACTGATCTCAAGTTAATTCGCGTCTAGTTTACAAAAATTTTACATATTATTTTGTATACTTCTCCGCTAATATATGCTAACTGTGTATAAAGGGTTATGGAGAGCGATAGTTCAAAGATTGTCGAATAAACAATAAAATCCCCTTATAATTTCAATAAATTTTTTTTTGATAAGTATATTTAGTATACTTACAAACTAAAAAATAAATAATTTCAATATTAAAGAAATTCATTTTTAAACACATATTTAAATTACTATTTTAAGATATTATTTTTCATATGGAAATTAATGTAGTCCCAATTTATTGACATATAATTTTAATTTAAACTTGTATGATGTATTAAATACTATTAAAAAATAAATATATATTGTATATTTTCGTATAATAAAAAATGAAAAATTTCGATAAGATATATCTGATCCCAAAAATGGTATTCAAATATTAGGAAATGTTTGAAATTAAAGTCTTAAAAATTCAAAATACTCATTTTTTAAATTAAATTAAATAATAAATATTATATTTAAATTAATCTTATATGATATTTTAATAATGGAAAAAAAAAAAAATTTTAATTCTCAAAACGTTTTATAATATTTATTGCACTTTATAATTATAAATAATGTGGTACTTGGAACATATTCCCATATATTTAAGTTTTCATTAATATTTAAAATATCTTTCAATGCTAATGAAGCTGAGTATGATTCTGATATTTGACTTTCAGATGGGTTAATATGTCTCGCTAGCCCTAAATTTACTAATATAGCTTGAATTTATATAAAACATTTCCAAATTATAAAAGGGTGTTTAAACTTTGCTATAAAATCTAATTTACATATAAATGATTTATATATCATAATAAAAACTAAAATTCTGTACTCCTGGGTTAAAAAATGATTTAAATCTATTTTTAAAACAAATTTCAGTGTTGTGCCCAGGGATCCAAACCAAAACGAATATCGGTTTGGTTTGATCCTCTAAAAACCGGTTTGAACACTTTTATATTCAAACCTACATTCGAATTATTTATAGAGAAGAATTTTTTTTTATTTCATAAAAATAAAAAACACATACATAAACCTTCATTTTTATTAATTGCACATTAAAAAATAATATTTAATTTATAAATATAACAAATAAATATCAATGAATAATTTTAATATGAGCAATTATTTAAAAATTTTTTATGCCGCACAATTAATATATTTTCAAAATTATACTCAAATTACATCTATAAGAAGAATAAATTTAATTGTTGAAAAACATCTTTCCACACTAATTTGGGTAGCTGGCACTGCCAGTATTATATCAGATTTGATGTGTCATTTATAATACAATATGTAAATAATATTTATATTGGATTTAATTTTTCTCATTTATAAGCTTAAAATATCTAAAAAATGTTGTAAAATGGCAAATTGCTAAAGTTTATAAAAATTATGACTGACACTTATCATTAAAATGTGATTGATAATAATCTTTAAAACAATTCGAATATAATTAAATTTTTTGCAATATACTAACACATTATTTTATAAACATAAAATTATAAGACTCGAACCGGTTCAGAGGGATTTTAGCGGTTCAGTTTAG